CATAACCCTTTTCTGTGTCTTTAACATAAATACATTTATCACATTCATTAATTTTAAATCCATTTTGAACCATGACATTATCAAATTTTTCATGCCATTGTTTCGGACCTTGTTTTTATCCATACAAAGACTTAACCAGTTTGCAAACTTTATTCTCTTGCCCGGGAGCAGAGAACCCTTCAGGTTGCTCCATATAAATTTCTTCTTCTAAATTTCCATTTAGAAAAGCCGTTTTTACATCCATTTGATGTATTTCAAGATTTCGTAAAGCTGCAATTGCAATAATCACCCTGATGGATATTATCCTCGTTACTGGAGAATATGTATCAAAGTAATCAAGGCCTTCTTTTTGCTTATAACCTTTAATTACAAGTCTAGCCTTATACTTATCAATTGTTCCATCGGGTTTCATTTTCCTTTTAAAAATCCACCTATAGCCCAATGGTTTACTTCCAGGAGGAAGATCCACTAGCTCCCATGTGTGATTTTGCAAAATGGAATCAATTTCACTTTGGATTGCCTCTTTCCAAAGAGGTCCTTCAGAAGATTTTACTGCTTCTGAAAACGTTTGTGGTTCGCTTTCAACCATATAGGTTAGAAAATCTGGACCAAAAAATTTTTCTATCCTGCCTCTTTTGCTTTTCCGAGGTTCTACCTCAGTATATCCATCTTGATCTTTTTCCATTATTTCCAAATTTCTTTTAGTGGAACTAGAATCCACTTCAGACTTACGTGGAAATATATGCTCAAAAAATGAAGCATTTCTAGATTCAAGTATCGTGTTCTTATGAATTTCCTCAATTTTGGGTTCATGTACGAGAAAACGATAAGCACTACTGTTGTGTGCATATCCAATAAATATGCAATCAACCATTTTTGGTCCAATCTTTATTTTCTTTGGCGTAAGTATTTGTAGGATGGTGGTCTTCCATGCCATAATTCATATGGACTTTTGTCTAACTTTTTACGGGAAACCTTATTTAAAAGGTAATTTGCTGACAATACAGCTTCCCCCCACATGTTCTGTGATAGTCCAGAACTTAACAACATTGAGTTCATCATTTCTTTTAAAGTACGATTTTTTCTTTCCGCAATCCCATTTTGTTGCGGTGAATAAGGTGCTGTCATTTCATGTCTTATCCCATGTTGGGCACATAATTCAGCAAAAGGTGACTCATATTCACCTCCTCTGTCACTTCTTATCACCTTAATCTTTTTATTTAGTTGACTTTCAACTTCATTTTTATAGAGAATAAATTTCTCTATAGCTTCATCTTTACTTTTGAGAAGATACACATAACAAAATTTAGTGCTATCATCTACAAAAGTAATGAAATATTTATTTCCACCACGCGTCGTGACAGCTTTTAAATCACATACATCGGTGTGAATTAAATCAAGTGGTTCACTATTTCTTTCAATAGTTTGAAATGGTAATCGTGTCAATTTCGCTTCAACACAAGTTTCACACTTATGTTTTGAATCAATATGGAACATAGGTATGCTTTTCAATTTTATTAACCTGCGCAGAGTATTATAATTGACATGTCCCAGTCTACCATGCCACACAATGGAAGACTCAAGCATATAAACAGAAGGATTGACAATTTTATTAATCGTCATCACATTGAGCTTAAAAAGCCCATTACATTCATAACCCTTCCCTACAAATGCTCCATTTTTTGTCAAAATGACCTTATCAGATTCAAACACTACACGAAAACCATGTTTGATCAACAAAGAACCAGACACTAAGTTCTTACGAATTTCTGGTACATAAAGTACATTATTAAGAGTCAATTCTTTTGCAGATGTCATCTTCAGTACCACTTTTCCCACTCCTTTGATGTCAGAAGTGGCAGAATTTCCCATGAAGAGCTTTTCTCCATCCACCGTCTCGTCAAGGACATTAAACAGTTCTTTGTTTGAGCAAACATGACGGGTAGCACCCGTGTCAATCCACCATTCATGTGGATTTGAGCCCACCAGATTTACCTCGGATATAACTGCTGCGAGGTGCATCTCATCAACATCTTTTGCCAGGTTTTCCACCATATGGGCTTCTTGATTTTTCTTTGGCAACCTGCAATCAGATGCCTTATGGCCAAATTTATTACAATTATAACAATTTCCAGAAAATTTTTTCTTAAAAATTTGTTTATTTGGCCACATTACTGCTTTCCCAGTATTGCCACATTTTTTCTTATTATTTTTACGTGAGCTTTCACCGTGCTCGACAACATTAACCTTGGCAAAAGAAGGATTAACCAATTTATTATCGTAGCCCTTGTTGTCTTCTTCAATTCGAAGTCTAACAACGAGCTCTTCAACAGTCATCTCTTTTTTCTTATGTAATAAATAATTTTTAAAATCTTTCCAACTCGGTGGAAGCTTTGCAATTATGGCAGCCACCTGGAAAGTTTCATTCACCACCATTCCCTCGGAATGGATGTCATGCAAGATTATTTGAAGCTCTTGCACTTGACTAATTACAGTCTTCGAGTCAACCATCTTGTAGTCCAGAAACCGGCCTACAAGAAACTTCTTGGCTCCAGCGTCTTCGGTTTTGTATTTTTTATCCAAAGACTCCCACAGCTCCTTCGCTGTTTTGATAGAACTGTACACGTTGTACAACTTATCGGCCAAGCAATTCATTACATAATTTCTACACAAGAAATCTGAATAATTCCATGCATCAAGCGCACTCACAGCTTGAATATCCGGATTTTCCCCCAACTTTGGAGGATTTTCCGTCAAGAACCTCGCAAGGTTCAACGTAGTAAGATAAAACAACATATTTTGCTGCCAGCGCTTGAAATTCAAGCCACTAAATTTTTTCGGTTTATCAGCATGATTTACCGGGACATTAACAGAAGGAGAAATAGTAATTGTAGCAGCACCACCGGTATTAGCAACACCAATAGTATTTTGTTCAGCAGCCATCTTTAATCAGAATCTGTTTTAAGATTGTAGTTTACTTTATCGGGAAATAAAAAATAGGATGGCTAAAATAAAAAATACCGAGGCATGTGAGAACACAGTGTCCTTAAAACAGATTCGCCCCGTATGAGCGTCTGTTTCCCAGGATACAACGAAAATACCGAAACAAATCCGGCGAACTAGAATTAAGCCTGGACCAAAACACTATAAAAACAAATGGGGAATATTGGATTTTCTTTTCTTCTTTCTTCCTCTCGTGTGTCATTCTCCTCAAAGAAGACCACCCTATTTATAATACTAAGATAATGTAACTAAGACATTTAATTCAACATTAATAATCTTAAGTTAAAGATAGTTTCAACTTTAATACAACCAAGTTACAAGTTTTGGAAGTAAAGTTCAAGACACGGTTTCAAAACCAATTCCTCAGTTACAATTTCATTCAATATTATCCGACAGTAAGTAAATTTCCTTATATCTTCTCCTTCTTTGTCTATTAACGATACTCACGATGGATAGTTTTTGTCTCATGATATTTGGTAAAAAGGAAATCTTGTTATTTATAACAATATATTGTTCCAGAATTAAATAGCTGATCTCTCGACATTTCTAGAATTATCTTTTATATTTTTCTTCAAATTGTGTGAAACAGTTATGAAGACATTCGAGTTCGGTGGTACCACTCTTTCTCTTGCTCTCTTCATCGATGTCACCAACTCCAAGTATGGTTTTTTCTCCAATTACTGTTCCTGTAACTTTCTTATTGCATCTACATTGTTAGTTTCTTCTCCTTTCACGAATTAGGCTTCTTGCTTAAATTGCTTTTAAGATATTAAAAGTATAAATAACGAGTTCTGTGCATGTCGAAGCTTACTGTAGTTTAGTTTTTTTGTGGTACTTTTCGTGTTTGATTTCTTAAATCGTTAATGGGTTCAAGATAATAAAAGAAATAAAATATTTGTCTATAGTTAAATTTTGTGTAATGCCTTGTTATATTTCTCCCCGTCACCCATATTGTCCTGTTACAACCTGTTTCTTGTAATGAATTCCTTTGTAAAAGAAAAGTGGTACTACTTATTTCTTGATAAGGAATCTTTACATCTAAATCATGTTTTATGCAGAGAGCTTCTGGATGTGATGCAAGCAGGAACTTTGAAATTACACCTTTCATTTTTTTATTTATTTATTTATTTATTTTTTTTAATTCTTTACAAGATATCTGAATCGCTAAAAAGATGCGGCATATCTGACAACACAAGTTATGTTCTCGTGGCTCGTTTTGGTGCTTCAGTTGATGAGGTGAGATCATGTACAATGTACTTATTGCTCGTCTTTTATTGATTTTGGATCCTTTTCTTTTGCTTGTTGCATAGAAAAAAGGGCAAACAATTTCTATTTCTTATTTCCAGATGACAGTCGTGAAAGGACTTGTCAAGGGAACTGAAATTGGTGTGGAAAACCAATTTTTATTAAAGAGTTAATTACAACAAGAACCTTAGTGTTTTATATAATTATAGGAAAAGCCGCAGCTATATCTTTCACAATTTCATAGTCAACCACTTGATATTGTTTTTATTTGTTAGGGTCAATTTTTATGCATTGGAGATTGTGTCTGTTTGGGATAATTATTTATATTTCTCTATGATTAAGGCCAATTTTATTGCTGGTTCTTGAAATTACCTCCATTTATTATGTTGTACTTTGTTGCGTCCTTTGTGGTTGACATTAGTAATTGACAACATGAATACATGATCAATTGGTTGAACCTCTGATTGAACTAAAAAAGTAACTCCATGCTAAAAGAATTTTTTTTCTGTTCTGGGACTGTAGTTTGGTCTCCTTGATGGATCTAAATAATCGTAATAATCGTTCGAGTTTTGAACTGGAATGTTCAGGTCTAGGCTTTAGCTATGTGGTGTGTTTCTCATTTAGTCTTTGTATTAAGGATCGACTTGTGTATTGGGTTGTGTGGCAGTAAGGTTGGGTTTGTTAGAAGCAAGGGAGGAATTATTCTAATTATTTGTTGNTGTTAGATTGTGTAAATTGTCGAAACTTTGTACTGATTTTAATTAGTTATGTAATATTTATCGTTTAAAAAGAATGTTGGACCTCTGATTACACTTTTCACATACATAAACTTCAACCAAAGATATGTATGCTATTACTTTGTCGACAAATGCTAATGCTAAATAGCCAGAAAATTCTACACAATCAGCAAAAAATATTTGCAAATATCGCTAGAAACACCTATTTTATCCTAGTACATCAAAATATGATAATTTTTTTTTAAAAAACAAAACATGTAGAATTTCAGCTGTCAGAGCACGAGCAAGCAGATAATTGACGTAAAAGAATCTACAGTGAGTTTGAAGAAGTTGAAAACACTTCCGAAAGTGCATGGTGTCCAACTAGTCATCATCTTCAGAATCTGTTCAAGGATAAATAAACATTAGTAACAGAGTAACACAAAGATGGAATGTATATTTTTTTTTTGGCAATTTGAAAAAAATAAGAGAGATAGAGAGAGAGAGAGAGAGAGAGGTTTGGATCTTGACATATCAAGTATTACTATCAACTTCATGAAGATGTTTCATTTTAGAAATACAGATGCTAATGAGATATNAGACAATAAAAATGAATTTGCTCACAAAATGGACCTTTAGGCAAGATAATGATCTGAGTCGAAGAAAGACACAAACCTGATCGTATATCTTCCCCGACTTTTCCTCTGTTTTTGAGCTGTCTCATGATCATGGAGTATATGAGAATCCACCAGTAAATGTGAAAAACAAGCAAGGTCAACAACATTGTATTGAAGAAATAGTACAATGCCGTAGAATAAGGCTGAGACAGGTCCAACACATCACATAAATAGTAGCTGACAAGGCACAACAGGGAAGAAGAAGAAATCATCATAAATGTGAAAAATTAAAATAACGAAGAGAAAAAAAAAATAATATCAACAAAACCAACCTCGTGGACCTTATGACCCAAAATGGGAAAAATACGAGCCTTAATACAACCCATGACAAGGCAAACAAACCAAAACACAGGCTAGCACTAAGCTCTTTTCCTGAGTATTTGAAAACTTTAGCTCCTTCGAGGAATACATCGCTAGCATCATGCAGTGCAAGGATAACTGTTCCTACTCGAAAGAACCTGGAAAAAGTTACACGCATATTCTCCATCAACAACTTTATTTTGGAATGCGTGTTTTGTCTGACTTTCAAAGAGGATCACAAACTTTTTTTTAACAACACCGAGATTTTAGTATGCTTAACAAATGAATGGATACGCATACGCTTGATTTATCAATTTTGAAGACCGCATCTAACTGCTTATTCTAAATATGATAAATGCTTATTCTCTCTTTTTATATATACAGATGACGGAAAATACTCAACATTTCAACTAGAACTATTTGAACATTTTGTAATAGCTACCAAACAAATTTACAGAACTCAAGGAAGTATATATATATATATATATGACAATCATTTGAATGTAATTGTTAGGATAAGCAATGGGCAGAGTAGAAAAGGGTACCCTGTAATGTACGAAAAAGCAATTAACAAGACTGTGATAACATGATGAGACATCATAACTGAGAAATCCTTTCGTCGAGTTTCCCAAGCGAGAAGAGCCGCGATGCTATATGTGTAAAACCCACATTCGCACATGTAAACAAGTTGCACCGAAAGCCTGAGATAGTCAAATCCAATGGCCACAAATCGTGTGCATAAGTACAATCGTGCAAAAAATGTAAAAAGTACATACTGGCACGCAGATATTGCTAGAACATCCACAAAAAAGACAAATCTTACTTCAATTCTTGATTAGGCCAGCCGGTAAAATACTCCTTTACATTTGTGAACCATGGTTCATTGTAGATAGCTGCCACAGTGCAAAACTCTATAGTAGCATAGTATGTAAGTTTCCACAGAGACTCTGAACATTTCACTATTTTTGCTTTAGTTTCATTGTTTAGTTTCGGCTGAGAGGTACCTCTCCTCAACATCCATGTTGATAGACTCTGGAATTAGACGAAAAACATTTTTAAGAAAGGAATATCTATCCAATATAGACATGAACTTAATTATCTCACAATCAATCGTGTCCAAAGCTGGAAATGTCTGTCGATGCTTAATCAATGAAGAAAGAGTCGATTTCACCCAGTAACAATATAAGTAGACATGTTCACTATTTGAACAAACTTGATAATTTATTCGATCAATGAAAGCTCAAATATAATGTCATTGTTGATACTTGCCTAATCAACTAGCTGGATTGACTATCGTAATCCAATTCCAATAATGTTCACCAATTTTTCGGGAAAAATAAATCAGAAGCACTAAACTTTCGAAATCGACATACGCTACCAAAATGCATTTCACACATCACATCCTATTTTAAGCCAACAAATTCCTAAAGCAAGAGAAAATTCAATGATGAAAATAGAAAAACATATGTCTATGTAAGGTGGGAAAAAAAAAAAAAGATTAAGAATAAGAAGCTTACACGGAAGATGAATCTGTCGAGAATGAACCTAGCGGCAACGAATGCAAACGCAAAGTAGAAAGCGAGAATGAAATGCGAGACGCTCGGGACGTGATTTTCCGTCCAGATCGACTCCATCATGCACCAATCCAAAACCGACAGCGCATCAAAAAAGTCCTATCAATTAATCAAATCGGTATATCTCAACGGAGTAGAAGCAGCAAATTGCCAACCCTAGCAAAATCCCCGCACAATAAATGAGCGAAAAATTGATGAATTGATTCGCACAAACAAACTTCAAAGAAAAAAAGATGATGGAATAAAAAAAATATATTCTCCGCAATAATGCGGAGAAAGAGAAGAGAGAAGAGAATAAATGAAGAGAGAGAATAAAGGAGTAGAGTGGATTGAGGGAGAATGTTGGTTATTAACGACATTTTAGAGAAATGTGGAAAAGAAGAACTTTGCCGTCTATTTCGGTCTTCTTGCCTTCCACATTGCTAATTATGAGTGCATTGCTTTTGGTTAAGATAAAGATAAAACTCTTGCCCAATCAAATCATGTTGAATTAACTGGCACACATGATATTCGGATGACAAAAATAAAATAAAATAAAAAATGTTGAATTAACTGGCAAAAGAATAAAAAATGTTGAATTAACTGGCGCACATGTGATATTCTGATGACCAAAAAAACTGGCACACATGTCAGGATATGTAATATAAATACATAAGATAGATATAAATTATTATTATTATTATTATTATTGTTATTATTATTATTGAATCTTTGTTTAAAAATGAGATATGAATTTTCCATTAAAAAAATAAGGAAAAATAATATAAATACTTAACTCAAATAACAAAGAAATAATTAAAATAAGATATTGTCTAATAATTAAAATAATATAAATAGGGTCAATGGTACTCAGTGAAAGAAATAAGAATACATCATAATCATTAGATTAAATGATCCAACGGCTTAGAAAAAAGTCAAAATTATACATTCATTAGGGGCATTGTTGTAATTTTTCACACTACACACAAAAAGGTGGACCTCACCCATAATTAATACCTGCCAGTTGCCAACAACCAAATGGTTAACCGTGCCCACCCATCTTTCACCCACCCCAGATGCAGCGGCACCGAAAAAGTTTGCCTTCAAGATCGAAGGTCGAATTCAATGGCGAATTT